ATCTAGTTTTAATGCTTCAGTAAGGATTTGCATCAACCATGTCGTACGGTTTTATAGCGACCAGTGATATACATGTCTAGTGGCACCTTTCGACAGATAAGATTTAATGCAACTGATTTATAAGAAAAAGGTACAGAACTGAAGTTTAATAGGCCTCAGTTGGGAACTATAATATTTGCAAAGATTCAGCGCTTACTGCACGCAAATATTGGTAGATGTGAAGCTGAGGAGATTTATGAGATCAACAACAATACTGATAATCGCAAAAAGTGTGTTTTAGGTTTTAAAGTTCAAAAAGATATTATTGCACAGTAGAGGAATGAAATAATACAGAACTGCTGAGAAAAAATACGGACTGTATATGGAAGAATATACATTAGCATTTAAATCGAAAAATTCTTCAAGAAACCACTCGTCTTTATCGTTATATTGTGGTAACTTTCGATGCTGCACTTCTGATACTTTTGACACTCCTTCTGATTCTGAGATAGTAAGCTTTTAATTTTATATTTCATCTTTTTTCCGTCTATTTATGTTCATTTGTGTCTAAAAATAAATGAAGCATTTTTGGATGGAAAGTTATCCAATTTGTAATTTTATAAGCTCCGACAATTGCGATTTCTATAATTTTCTTTACTGAACCATTAGAAGTAGCATTTTCCTGGTCTCTGATAATTTTTTGAAGCTATTAATTTTGTAAATTATTTTCTCAATGATGTGGGGGTTAAGTGTTAGGTTTTTGAACTGACTGTAAGGGGAAGAAAAAACCGCTTGCTTAAGGTCGGCTGTACCTCGACTAAAATGTAACTCATTTTGGCTGGAGTGCAGTTGGTATTACTCTATTACATTGGGCTATCGACTTGCTCAGCAAAATAAGCGTCCGCTGCGGTCTAATAATGTTGTCACTATTACGCTTTTGTAACATTATTATGCATCTTTTCTTATTGTAGTGTTACGCAACTGATTTATTTAATTAACATATGTAATATTTAAAACCATACTGTTACGTGATGACGGCTTTCTTAATCTGCAAAATCGGGGTAAGAAAGGTCGATCAGTGTGAGCCACTGGTACGGAAGATCGTCGGTAGGAGGGATCCATGGACATGGAAACTTGCCTGCTCGCTTGTCCAGCGCTATCTGTTGAATGTATTCGTCCGCGGAATTGATTAGCATTTTTTCGTTCCTAAAATGATAAATCTCAAATAATTTAATTTTGGTCGACCGCACTGCCGCAACTATCTTTTTTTAATGCGAAGATCCTTTAGTCGTTACGTCAGGTAAAAGGTTTACTTATGAACTGTTGATCTTTATTTATCACTATTTAGTTAGCTAAACTTTATTCAAGATTACAAGTGCAGAGTTTTCAAAGGTCTTCTGCTTGGCTGTTGCAGCCTTACTTTAGTTTAAATCAAACAAGTATGTCGTTGCATTTGGGTGCAGTTTAAAAACGAGGAAAGCACTGTTTAAGAAAATGAAATAGAAAGTGGGGAATTGATTGCTTTTATAAATTCAGCGACAGTTGCCGACTCCTGATTAGCATATGTAAGTGCCCTTTCTCGTGCAACTTAATTTTCCATTGGGGACAATGAATATGACTAACTTATATTAAATTACCCTCCGTCATCTCGTTGGTATTGCAATTAAAAAATATTTTCTTTTTTGCAGTTAATAGCAGTATATATAAATTCTGTGCTTTTAGAAGGAAGTAGCGGAATCTCTGGTTAAAGATTTAGCAGGCAGCGGTAGAAAAGGAAGAAAGCAAAGAAGTTCGAATGGTAGAGCATTGTTTTTACTTTTTATTTTTACCTGCCCCATACAAGAAACTTTCTGCTGCAAGATAGGTGATTGCAAAAAAATACCGCTACTGAAATAGGGGCTGGATGCAGAATGGTAAAGAGATGTGGATAAAATATCTGACAATGTTAGAACTAGTGAAGGAGGAGAAAAAGAAAGTTAAAAAAAGTCCAAGGGAAAAGAGGACTAACGTAGGCAAGTCTTAGTTCCAAACTATGACGTTGTGATTCTGCAGCAACAGCTTCAGCAATATATTGGGCGGATTGCCTATTCAGCTTGAAATCTGGAGTTTTGTTGAGTCCAACAAATTCTCCAAGCATATTGACCAGCGAATCACGAAGCCTCATTCTCCGTTTAGCAAAATTTCCAAAACGTTTTTGGAAAGTCGCAAAAAAAGAATTGAAGTTAAATGGAGTTGAAATGGTTGACTTATACCGTTGCCTCTGTGATTTCAAGAAATTTACGCGGAATGTGGCTCAACTGGTTCTAAATTGCCATTTGTTTGAGAATTTAATTTTTGTTAATTAATAGTATGTTGCGCTAAAAATCGATTGTTGAAAAATTTTTACATTTTTAAGTAAAAAGAATTGATTTTTTTTTTTTGGCTTTCGTTTCTTCTTTAATCGGTGTCAAATTTTTAGATTTACAATATGCTATGCCACTTTTCTGGCTGATACCTACATGTACCAAACGGCGGGAGGGGGAAAGAAGGTAGAGATGAGCAGGTACAAACTACAGACTTGTAGGCAAACTAATACACAGAAAAATACACAAATACAATGACATCATCTCTGCCTAAGGGCGTTGGTGATCGTGATCGTTATTTGACTGTAGGCTGGAGGTCAGAAACAGCTTTATAAAGACATAAAGAGAAGGTTTTTGTTCCGTAGTTGTGATTAATCGATATTGATCTCCTTAGTCTCTCTTTTAATAACTGCTCTTTTTTATTTTGTTCAGAAGTCTTTACCCTTCAGGGTTGATTTAGGAATTATCTTTGAAATCAAGTTTTGCTAACAAACTTGGGTTTTTATGATCGTTCAATGCAAAGACCGTTCATTGTATGGCAGAATTTTAAGACAAAGTGGTGCTCATTTTTCTATCTTGCATTCACTCGAATTCTAGTAAAGTTCGTTATACTTTGGTCGTATTTGGTCGTATATGTTTATTTTTATTGACTGGTTTTATATAGCTGTTTTCAAAGGATCGCATGATACTTCACTTTTTGTTAAAATATTTTGTTGAACAGCTTTGTGCTAGTGGGGGAAAAAAGGTAGCGTTTACGGGCGTATGAATTTTGTCATGTATTGTGTCACTGTATTGATAATAAATGGTTTTTTGGGTTGGAAGAAGAACGAAATATGAGAAGTTAACCTGGTTTTTGACCTTTAAATGAAGAGTGATGAGAAAAGTGAAGGCAAGCAACTTCCATATAATATTATTTCTTATTGAAAGTTTTTTCCCTGGTAATTAGATATTACCGCTCGCAGAAGCTTCTTAATGTCACTGATAGGTTTTTGGAAAAAAGCTAAGAGTGACTTGGGAATAGCGATGAAAGAAGAAAAGATGACAACTGGGGGGTTTTGAAATGGGGAAATTTGCAAAATCTTAAGGAATTTTTTTTGCAGCAAGTTCAGAAATGCCATTGTTGGAGTCCAAATGTCTGACCGCAGTAGTGCGTTTCGAAAAATTTTCTTGACAGTAACATTTTGAGAGGAGGCAGCAATTCTGCTCGTGTTTTTGACAGTAATGGTCATTTTATTTACTCGACAGCATTGTGAGATGTAGCGTTTTCTAGCTGATGCTGTTACCAGAAGAATAGCACTTGCGTAACTGTACTCAAATAGAGTGAAGGGAAGGATAAATAACCTTGTCGAGATTTACGGGTTTGGCTTATTTAGTAAATTAGACTTCAAGTAAACTGTGTAGAAAAATCTGTTTTGTTACAGTCATCAGTTTGAAATTGCAAGGCGGTTAAGCGAAGACTTACAAATTGTTTACATTGTGGCTTTGTTTGCATCAAATTTTTGTTACTGACTGCCTTTTACAAGACGAAAACTATGACAGGAGAGGTCTTCAACTTTTTGTTTTTGCTAAGCAGTTTGAGCTGTAATAAACAACAGTGAGAACAGGTGAGAAGTTGACTGTTTTTCAGACAATGAATTATAAACAACTGCTTGTGTAGTTTGCCCTCTGTAGTTTTCGGAGGCAGAACATTAGCGAATGACATTTCTCTCATAAGTTTTTCTTCTGCTGAGTAGAAAAAAAATGTCACTGATAGATTTTTGGAAAAAAGCTAAGAGTGCAGTGTTTTATGCCATTGTTTTTCGCTCCGTAACTATGTCGTAAA